GCAAGGACAGGGATGCAGGGAGCAACAAAGGCGTCAAACCATACATTTCCCGCGTTCCCACTTTGCGACTCCGGCAGGGTAGCAATCCTAATAGGCTGTGCCTTAACCCGGCTCACACGCCAGAGGGAGGCCTCCCCGCCTTTCCAGAGGAGGACCTTGAGCCTAGAAGGCTTTGGTGGCCGTGCCCGTTTTGCTCGTACCGAGTCTTTACGCGCCCCGGTGAATTTGCTCGCCCCGAGGAGCAACGCAGACAGCACCTCAGCAAAGTGCATCGGGTTGCCAAGGCGCCAGACTTGAGGCACGCCACTAGCCTCACTCATGGGATTACGCGCAAAAAGGCGGCCAAGGACTCCTTTGACAAACGCTGGGCCCGTATGTTTCAAAAGTTTTCGCAGGCCCGCTGGTCAGGCGCGCATGATATAAGCGAAGAGCCTACGAGTTGGCTTCAGACCAAAAGCCAACAGGGCAAAACCTCTTTTGAAGCATGCCATAGATGCAAGACTTGTGGGCTGGAGATAGTCAGAAAGAAGGTCCCTATCCACCTTTGCCCCAAGGCCAGGGTATGCTCCAAGCCTCTGACGCTCGCTGAGAGGACCAAACTTTGGAAGCAATGGAGATAAGAGTCTTCTCTGAGAATGGGTGCGGAAGAGCCCTCCGGAAAGCTCGTGACGCTGCTAAGGCTGCTAAGGGTGTCAAGCCCGAGGCCAAAGAGAGTGCGCAAGAAGCCGGCTGCTAGGTGGCAGTCGGATTGACGGTGCGGGGCCCTCAGGGAGTGTGCAGGTCACTCTGCAGACCTCTTACTCCCGGCAGGGGCCCTAGCACCGACGAGACGCGGCTTGCGGGCCGCTAGGATTGGTGAGGCCTCTAATCCGGGCCCTGGCCAAGGCATTTGCGTGCTCAGTCTAAACGTCAGCTCGCTTAATAGGCGCCGCCAGGCTGTTTTGGTTTTTGCCGAGGACTACGACTGTCCAGTTGTGCTTCTTCAAGAAACGGGGGGTTTCAAAGGCTCAGCTTCCGTACCTTAGCAACTTCTACCGCTGTAAGGGGTGGCAGTTTCTTGGGCTTCCTTGTGATGCGGCCAAAGGCGGCGGAAGAGGAGGTGTTGCTTGTCTCGCCAAGTACCCGCTTGGGCTTTCTCTCCTCTCCACTCACTTCGATCCAGGTGCAAGGGCAAGTCATGGGTGTGTGTCTGCTGGGGGCCTCCTGCCCGGTTCACTTACTCTGTGCCTACCGTAGACCGGCCCTGGTAACGATGTCCTTCCTCACCCAGCTTCTGCAGGCCCACCCCAACAGGCCTTGGGTTCTCGCTGCTGACTTCAACCTCCATTCGCTGGCAGGGATCCTTCATCAGACGATGCGGACCTTAGGTGCCTCCCTGGCAAATGTGGGTCACCACAACAGCAACCGGGAGCCTCCGGCGCTGCAAGTCACTGACGCAGAGCTTCCTCCCATGCTCTGGACCACACGGTCTCGATGACCACGCTGCAAATCCAGCGGGGCGCTACTCAGGATCCTGCTTGGGAGTTTCGTAGTGCTGCCCCTCTGGCTGCGGCCTCACAGACACCCAGGCAACGGACGCAACGGCCTCTGCTGCCAGCGCGTGCAGCAGGAGGCGGATGCCGATGACGCTTGGCTTGCCAAGGTTCAGAATGGAGACCCGGTTGCTTTGTGGGACCAGTGGTCTCGTGATGCTGAGGCCTCCCTCACATCCGTGCAGGGGTGATAACCCGACGCATGAAGGCGTCTCCGAGAGGGACTCTTCCGCAGCTCCAGAGCGCAGCCTGCTGTCTTGGAGCTGGCCAGGACAGTCAGGAGCGTGAGCTGCGTCGTTTCATGCGAAAGCTGCACGAAGCAAGGGGTAGCTACGCCAGAGGCCAAAATGTTAATGAAGGTCTTCTCAAAAACATCCAACGGAATGCCAACCATTGGAAAGTTGCACACCAGGTAGGTGCGGGCTGAGCAGTGGCAACCGGCCATTCAGGCTCGTAACCAGCTCCTCCAGACGATGTTAAAGAAGCAACAAGACCAGAGGGTGAGTGAGTGGCGGACACGCATCCATGACTACAACCACGCGGTGAAGTGGGTCAAAGCTGGTGCTCGCCCGCCGTGGCTCTTGCGGAAAACCGACGGCACGGTGGTGGTGGGACCTAGTAGTGGTGCTTATGCCCTCAGAGAGGCTTGGGCCCCTCTCTTCACGGGGGGTTTAGGGTACTCTCCCGACACGGACGGTTACTTGCGCGCCTATGGCAGTCACCACCCCCAAAGAACTGTGGCACAGGACACTGTACTTGACATGGGACAGCTCAAGGCTGCGGTAGCCTCCATGCAAGCTAAGGCCCACGGTCTTGACAAATGGGAGGCCGCAGCCCTACTCCGCCTGCCTGAGGCAGCGTGGCGCAGGCTGACACAGACGCTGATGGCAATCGAGGCCACTGGCCTCTGGCCGCCGGCGCTCCGTCAGTGGCGAATTTGCTTTATCCCCAAGGAAGGCAGCTTCGACAGAATCACTGATGTCCTCAAAACTCGTCCGATTAGTGTGGGGGCTATCGTCTATATAGGGCTTGGGCGAAGGTTCGGTTCAAGCAGGCCATCCATTCCCTTTGCCCTGATGTTCTTGCCAAGCTCCAGTTTGGGGGGCTCAAAGGACACGACGCTGAAACCTTGCTGCTTAGCATGGACCAGGAGGCCGCGTCCCGAACGCACGGGTTTGGCGCCTCCCTCGATTACTCCAAAGCATTTGATTGCGCTGACTGGCGCACGGCACATGTCTTGCTGCAGAGAGCTGGAGTAGCTGCAGGTATCCTCCGTGCCTTAAGAGGCATGTGGGAACATCACGAAAGGTGGGTGTGCTTTGGTGATAAAGTGTGCCCTAAACCCATAGGTCAAGTGCAGAGTCTCCTCCAAGGCGACGTCTGGGCGCCTCTTGCTATGTCGCTAATTCTGGCGGGGCCCCTCAAGGCATCGCAGGAGAAGAGGCTAAGGTCTCTAGAAGCTGTGTACATCGATGACCGTTCTGCCCTCCACCGCAGTGTGGAAGATCTCCGGGCATGGAAAGAGGACTGGGAAGCCTTGGAGGGCATGACCAGACTTAGGACTAACGAGGTCAAGAACCAGTTCTGGGGTCGGACCCCCGCGGCAGCCCGAGAGTTGACCCGAGCAGGCTTTGACGCACAGCCTACCGTCCACATCTTGGGGGCCTCACTTGGAAGGCCTCATCGGACTGCAACCGATCAAGAGTGCAAGCGCAGGGAGCAGGGCCTTGCGCTCGCTCACCGGGTAGGGATTCTGCCGTGCAGTGTCTCCCTTAAGCAGCGTCTTGTTTGTACCGTCGTTGTTCCTAAGGTCACGTGGGGACTCGGTCTGAACAACAGAGCTCCCTCTTCTGAGGACGACCAGCATCTTCAAAGGTGTTTTATGGCTGCCCTGCGCGGAGCCAAGCTCGCTGCCGTTAGGGCAGCAGTCGGGTTGCGCAACGTCCTTACCTATGGACATTGTGCGGACGCGAGTGTCATGGCACTCAGCCGCATCCTCAGGGCCACTGCTAGATGGAGGCAGGCCTGTGCCCTTGAGGGCCGACTTGTGTCTTGGCAGCAACCGCTGAGGGAGCGTGCCTTGGCCCTAGCTAGAAGATGGGGCCCGTGGCGGGCTACGGATCAAGGCCTCATGCGTGCAGGAGCTCAGTTCCTGTTCGAGGACACTATAGGGCGGACCAGAACAAAGGTCTGCATGCTCTCCGCGACGATTGGAGACGTCACCAGCTGAGCAATTGGCTCGGCACAGACAGAGTGGACGCTCAGGTTGCTCGGGCCCAGCGTCTTCGGATCACGCCCGGATTGATCCGAGAGCTCCGCTCGGGCATGCAGAGGCACGACGGCTTCGCGCTGGGCGTTGCAACTGGAGGTTTCAAATCTCCTGCCGTTGACTACAGTACGAAACTCCTCGTTCATGAGTGCCCGTTCTGTGGCGAGCATACAGTTCCGAGCCTGCACCACGTGTCTTGGGAGTGCTCGAAGTTTTCTGACCTCCGGCACTGCAGCGAACCCAACTCTCAGCTTGCTGCTATGTTAGGGTGGGACCAGCCGGGAGTCCACCATGAAGTGCTCAGCCAGTTGGGCCGAGTGAGGAAGCGCGTTTTGGCGCTTACTAAGGACTCGTGGAAGCAGTCGTGAGCATAGCCAGGCCCTGACGACCTGATGCTCAGCACTTCCCCGGTGCCCGCCGTGAGACGCCCAAGGCCTCTCCTTTGCTTTCTGCCTACTAAGGACCCGCTGAGGCTCCTCGGTCCTGTGGGGACCTGTCTTAGGTCGCGGTGGTGCGGCCTGTGGCACTTCTATGCGCCCCCTGCAATGGCGCTGCTACGTGGTATGGTGGCGCTGTCTATCTATATATATATATATATATGAGGGGTTGAACAGGCATTGGGACGAAATGATTACTGAGAAATAGAGTCACGTCGCTAGTAGGGGCGCGGTGGGGCCGAGTGGGGCTGAGTGGGGCCGAGTGGGGCCGAGTGGGGTTGAGTGGGGCCGAGTGGGGGCCGAGTGGGGCGCAGTGGGGCTGAGTGGGGCCGAGTGGGTGGGACGCAAAAATAACTGAGAAATAGAGTCAAGTCGCTAGTAGGGGCGTGGTGCGGCCGAGTGCGGCTGAGTGGGGCTGGGTGGGGCCGAGTGGGTTGAGTGGGGCCGAGTGGGGCCGAGTGGGGCGCAGTGGGGCTGCGTGGGGCCGAGTGGGGCCGAGTGGGGCTGAGTGGCTGGGGAGGGGTTGGGCAGGCATTGGGACGTATTAATTACTGAGAAATAGAGTCAAGTCGCTAGTAGGGGCGCGGCGGGGCCGAGTGGGGTTGAGTGGGGCTGAGTGGGGCCGAGTGGGGCCGAGTGGGGCCGAGTGGGCCGCGGGGCTGAGTGGGGCTGCGGAGGAATTGGGGGGTTGAGTGGGAACAAGCGAATTTTAACTTCTGGGCGCCGCCCCAGGGGGGTCGGCGGATTTTTATGTTTACGTATATGTATGTGCACACTCAGTTTCGGCAAATAGATAGAAAGTACCAAATCAACAACTGCCTACTCGGCACGTTGAGTTCTCTATGTGCAAAGGTGGGCGGTTGGTTTGCCTCGAATTCGGTCTTCGCAGCGCTGGGTCCCCAGTTTTTCGATAGGCTGTCAGAGCATGCTTGTGCCATGAAGCAGCTGCTTCCAGGCTGCCCCTCGTAATCGACAAGTTGGCAGAGGGCGCGGGGACTGCAAGCATCGTGAATGCCAGTACGCAGATGGGCGCTGCCCGACCCACGGTCACAAGTCGGTCTATGCACCTGAAAGATCCGGCCCAGAGTGTGAGCCTTGAGGTCTTCGCAATTGCTTACCACGTTGTCGCGTACAACCACGATCTGGACCTGAAGGTGCCTAAGACGGTTGGCACATGTGCGGAGTTTAGTTGAGTGTAGCGCTCCCTCACCCGTCCTGTGCTTTCGATTCGCGTAGGCCAGTGTGTCCGCAAGCATGGAGCCTCTCGGCAAGACCGGTGTGGAGGGAACTCAGAAGCTGCAAGCTGACTGATGGGTAGGAAGATGAGCGAGCAGCGTCGTCTCTTCAAGGAGGACCAGCAGCGAAAGAAGGTTCCTGCTCATTAGTGCTGATCCCTTCCTAGTCCCCACCATTCCGGGGTTTCAGAGCAGGCGGCAGCAAATGCAGCGGCAGCGGTTCACATGGGACAGTTTGCCGCTGTGATGGCGCTGGTCACTTTCTCGTTCCTGCCACCTGCCTCAATTTGCAGAGGATGTGCATCGCTTCCATGCTCATGAAGGGTATGCGCCAGGAACATCCCCATGACAAACAAGCCCCTCGTAGGTGATAACGCCAACCGCTGAGGTGGATGTGCTACAGGTGTACAGCAGAGCTTGTCGTGCTCTCAGCCATTGCAGGCCTGCGATGCTGGAAACGTCACGGAAAGCTAGTGGTTCGCTGTTGGTTTTGCGGCCCGGGACACGAATTTCAATTGTTGTGAGCATCAGGTGAGCGAAAGAAACTGGATGCTGAGTATGATAGAACCGCGGGAGAGAGCTGCAAGATTGTTCTTTGCTTGTTGTGCTTGCATGGATCCTAAATCTCCAGGGCAGCGCAGTGTAGGTGTTGGTTTCAATGCCCGCGGAGTCTTTGGGATGGGTTGCGCTAGCTTCACGGATCCAACCCCCGGAGATGCAAAATGAAAGATGAGCAGGCGCCGTCGGAAACGTCGGAGCACCTCGGCCAGATGCAACCGTGGCATCACGGAATCGAATCCCCCCTCCCTGTGCGCTCATAAGGATCTGACTGCATGGCCTATAGCACTTCAGCTCCTTGCTTGCACAATACTCCGAGCACTTGACAAGAGGCACGAATTCTGAGTCCACCGCCGATGTTCCGTCTTGCCCAGCCACGATTCTTTCCGAGGCATCCAAGCAGATATGCAGCTGCCTCTCGAATTCAAGTTGAATCCACCTGACTTGTTGCAAGTAGACTAAGTAGAGCGAACGACACGGAGTACCAGCTCTGAACGGAATCCCTTTCAGGCTATTCAAATTGGTGGATCGTTCAGCGGTGTGCTGCCCAACTTGATCGAGGTTTCATGCATTCGTGTTAATATGTCCACGAATCAACATGAACCTGTGAAAAGTTTCCAGGTGGTTGTCGGCCGGTTTGGCATCGTGCCTTATTTCGCTGTCACCATTGTCTTGAGCCTTGGCTATAGTTAGTCGTTTATGTGCACTCAGCGAGGCCAACTAGGAAACATAATTCATGAGGCAGATTGGGCTGTGGGCCATCGTCAGTGCCAAAGACGTGGCCGGCATGTTTTCATGCAGCTCGTTTCTATTCGCAGAGAAGGCCGAGCATGTCGATTCCAGTGCGGTGTGCCTGCATTGTGCATGTGTCGTCATGGTCGGTGCGGCTCTGCAGGGTTGGTGCGGTTGGGTGCTGAAGTACTTATGGCACCGACCGTCAGCCGCACTGCCGCCATCACTTGCGTCAGGCCAAATGCAACTGTGCTGGTTGCGACGGCTGTACCTTGTTTTCAACTGGCCAAAGTGCCGGTGCCGGCCCTAGCTCAAATCAGTTCTTCGTGCCAACTTGCCTGATTTTTCCTCCTTTATCGAGGCGGTACGAACGGTGGAACGCACCGAGCGGTGATGCCTCTGAACCCTCCGGTCGAGGACATGCAGCTGATCATGTTGCAATGCTCCAACATTCGGTTGTGCTGCTCCTCTGCCTCTGTCCGATCCTCCACCACTTTCAGGGTGCGTTCTTAAGTGCCATTTCACGCACAGGACAACTCGTCGACAGGCATAAAACGTGCCGCGGAGGGAGTGGGTGAAATAGCCCAGAGGCACATGGGACAACGATCGCATGACTTGCTCTTGAGCTTTGCAGCAGGTCTGCGGAAGGAATCTGCGATGCTCTTCAAGGATTTTACAACGCCCTTCAAGGCGATCAAGATGCATACGCAGATGCGCCTCATCTGAAGTGAGTGGTGCCACATCTGCTGCAGGAGTCAAGCATGAATTCTTTCTCAGGGCCGCCAAGTTGTTTTCTTCTACACCAGCTGCTCCTTCGTGTCTAGGCAGGGCTGCTCAAGGAGTCTGGTTACACCCAAAGAGGCTCCAGCACAGGACAGGAAATGAAGAGGTGCCTGAGCCCACCATATTTCTGCTGTGTGCAAAGAAAACCTCATTGCATGGCCGGGTGCTTGCCAAGCTGGAATGTGAGCTTTTGCACCGTCGAGTGGAAGTCATGCAGCACTGCCGCAGTTTCATGGAAGGGCAATGTGCTACAGTATCCCCTCTCTCTTGCCTTTCATTGCCAATCCTTTTGGTCTTCAGAAGCAACAGTCTCTCGGCAAGGATAGCACTACGATTGATGCTGTCTTCAGACCGTGCAAGTTGTAATCTTGCCAAGGTTGTACGAGAGTATGAATACCATGTGCCCAGCTGCAAGCAAGAGAAAGAAAGCTTCTTGAAACGGTCTTCACAGGGGCTGGCAGGGACTGGACATGAGTGGATTCACCGAGGTACAATCTTGGCAATGTTATTGGTCGTCTGTTATGCCAGTGGTACAAGCCGCATTGCTTTGGTCTGGTTCCTGCCTCGGTAGGACACCTTGCCCCAAATGTCCTTCTGTCCACCGCAAGCAAAATATGCCGCACAATTTGAGCACTCGTCACTTACACAGCGCTGTCTTTCAATCTCCGAACAGACGGCTGAGCGTTTCCACAAGCTTCTTGAGGCTTGCAGCTTTGTCTCGGTCTTCGTGACCTTTGTTTGCCTTGTGCTATGAGGCTTGGTTGCATGTTATGAGACTCTGGCGTGGCCGTATGGCCGGACCCATGACGCAAGTGAAAGTCGAGCATCATGGTCTTGCTTTCGCGCCAAGGTTCAGTGTTTCCATACTATGTGGCCAGCATGCTACCAGCGGTTGTGGCTATGTGGGTCATACCGATCACCGTGCCCGAAAGCTGAAGATATACGACGCCTGCCAAGAGCTCTGCTTTTCTCAGGTGTCGTTTGCAGTCTCAGGTAGGCGTGTTCAACTTCTCTGTCGGCCTCATGTCGACTGGCCTGCCAGTTGGTTGCAAAGAGGATCCTCGAGGCTGTCACGAGCTCTCCGGAGCGTTTGAACCTTTCCGTCGCTTGCCACATCGCCTGCGAGGTTTGTGCGCGCCCACGAGGATGCGCAGAACAAGAAGTGTCCAGACACCATCCAAGCAACCATGGGCACCTCGGCGTTTCTTTCTCTGCTGGCTGAGTCGTTGCTTGGGCGTTTCCTAGCCTTAGGTTTTTATGGCCAGATAGGCTGCGTCAGTCGGACGCTCAGAGCCGCTCTGTGCACTTCGCTTAGTGAGCTGCTGAGCTTGCAATGCAGCTGCAAGCAGGTGGCAACTTTCTGATATTCATGGTGATCAATGTTTTCCATCTGCTTTAAAGCTCTTCGTCGAAGCCCTGTGGCATTTGCTGCCCGTTGGTGCACCGCGACGACGTCGTAGGTTTGGGAAGCGCGAGCTTCTCGTGTAGGCAGACAGGTACTGTAAATAGTCTGATGGACGTGATATTTTCGGTGCTCTGTGGTTATTCGTGGCACAAGCTTGAGATGACGGAACTGGGCCTTGAAGCACCTGAAGCTGTCATGCCATACTCTGAGAATGGCCCGGTCTGTGGCCCCGCGGGTCCAAATCTGTGCGGGTTTCAACACGTACAGAGGATCAGCGACGGATGCGCTGCGCAGGCTAGACATGCTAGAGGCCGCAGTTTAAGCGTGCAGACCGTGCCCTGTAAAGGGTCATGTCTCAAGACCAGCCAATTGGGATTAAAAACGCTGCGGATCAGCTGCAACGGAGAGGGGTGCGGGCACAAGATCTGAGCCACTGCAGAGCTACGATGCATCAGGCGCTGTACCGGAATAACTCCGCAACTGCGGATTCCAAGCAGTGGGCTTCGGACTCAATTGCCGGCACTCGTAGGCAGCTGGATGTCTATGAGATCCGACATGCAGAGGGGGCTCGAAAGCAAAGTACGTCATGCAGAAGTCTTGTTTCCGGGGTTTGCGAACAATTTTCGGATTAAAGTGCAAGAGTCTTGAGAAGACTTTCAGTGGCCCCAGCGACCTGATGTCGCAGTCATGCGCATCACAGGGTGTGATGTGGTCACATCCACCTCCCTAGTCCTGTGCCAGACGATCTTTGCCACGGTCCCTGCACTGAATCTGGAAGGTTCAGCTTATAGGACCGTGCAGAAATGCCTAGGTGGAACCCTTGGAGCAGGGCCAGCGGCTCCTCAAGGAGGCCAACCCCGAATGGCAGAAAGCATGAGAAAGCCTACCTGCTTTGCAGCGTAGGATCTGCGCAAATATGCGTTGGTATACGCTGGTCACACATATATCATATCTTTGTCTGGCACATGTCTTGAGTCTCGACATGTCCTGACTGTAACACAAGAAGTGGTGGATGTAAGTGCGGAGAGAAGGCGCAATGCGAAACGACCCGACATGGTCAACTCCTACGGATGCTCTCGAGTGAAACCCCCTAGGGGCAGTCGTTGCCGCAATAATTTATTCATGCAGAAGTACTCGTGGTGCTCAGTGCGGTAGCGATGTGCTTGTTTGGGGGGAATATGTCACACTGAAACGACAGGCCTTGTCCCTGGATCCAGACCATGCAGAGGCTCAGGCGCCCTGGAGCCCTTGAGAACACTATGCCGCCACGGCACATGCAAGTAAAGCTCGGATGCATTCTTTGACACTGATCACGAGGCCCTGCGAAAGCGATTGCGGGCATTGTGCAGCAAGCATGCCGAAATGAAGGACTGGTTCCACAAGCGTTCGTGAGCCTGTGCCTTCTATTCATCTTTCTGGTGAAAGCTGGCTGCGCCGACCATACTGTACCATATTGTTTTACCAGGGAACAGGGGGTGCTTGCGGGGAGTACGGGGCAGCCCCGCAGATGAAAAGGCGCAGGAGGCAGCAACACCTTGAGCATCTACTGTGGGCACCAGCCAGAGATCACCTGCCATACAGCAATTTAACTCTCGTATAACTGCATGTCGTTTCGTTGTTTTATGCCAGGGAAAGGGCAAAGAGACGCGTACAGTACAGCTTATGTACTGTACATTCGCACAAAGGGCGAATCTTTAACCGGAGAGATGTATGATGAGGAATCTGTTGTTGCATGGCTCTGCGATACTCTGCGTTGACTGGCAGACAGTTGTGTGAGCCCGAAGTTGCCTGCACTACCTCGCTTCCTTTCAAGACAGGAGTCGATGGATAGTCGCACTTCGGACGGCAGCTTCAGCTCTTGCGGCAGAGCACTTACTTCGAAAGTGCGTGAAACGTCGATTGAGGTGACTTCGAGAAAGGCCAGCAGGTCATCGACGGCCTCTCGTATGCACTTTCAAGCTGCAAGCGGCTGCAAGTTGTTTGCCTGGACCGGCTTGAGTCATTCAGGCATGCTGGAACTTTGTCCGGACAGCCCTGCCTGGGTCTCGGGGTGCTCTCTTGGAAACCACCGACGTCGTGCTTGTGGGTCTAGGGGCAACTAAGATCAGCTAAGGTGGGTGTTCTGAATTCGCACCACGCGAATGTAGATTGCCATGGTTTTTTGGGGGACCATGTTGCACCATGTTTCATCTGTTGTACACGTGTTTCACTTAGCATGATGTTTCTGACTTTGGAGAATTCAGCAGGTAATGCTGGCGGCGCTCTACTGCGAGCGTGCCAAAGCGTGCATGCGATTGAAGGACTGGCGAGGTGTCTGTGACCAAGCTGCGGAGATCCGATGGATTGATGGAAAAGTGCTACAAGACTCAGGTCTTGAAAGACGTTGGGCAGGCCACCTACCGAAATCACTCGCTTGCTCCCCAGGATCGTTCAGGCCTCTCTGGCCAGTCTGCTGCCCTGCATGACGGGGCAAAAAGGGTCATGACTGCACCAGGCTCGTGCAGCCTTATCTCTATCGAGCCCAAGCAATGCAGGCTAGCCCTGTATTTATGCGTCAGGCTGCGGAAATGGCATGTAAGCGAAACAAGATTTGTTCCTATTGTGTCAGGCGCTGGAGAGACATGAAGATGCTGTGAAGGAGTTAGAGGCCCCTTACATGCCGAGTTCGTGCTGCTGTGTTTTTGAATCCAGTCGCATTTAGTAAGTTAGCAAGGATTAGCGGCTTAGCGATCACACCAACTGCTGAACACTTGGCTCATGCAAGTTGCTTTCTACTTGCTATTCGACTTCGGGGAAAAAGCGCAGAAACCATTTAAAGAACCATCTTCATTTCATAAAATCCAACCCAAGACTTCTGAAGATTCAGTCGTCGCTGCTACCCCGATTTGACGACGTCCAGGCCTGCAAGCTTCCAGAGATCATCCCACACTTGAAGCAATCTCATCCCAAGTTTATTGAATATGACCAGAGACAGATCCCAGAATTTCGAAGACGAGGTCAAAGAAAAAAACAGCCTGACTGCATCAACTTTTGGGGATGCGCTAAGCATTGTATGGATTATTCAGCTTTGATCCTTCAGTGTGAATCCAAGACCCCTTCTGCTTTGATTGCAATCCGTGGCAGTCGCTCATGTCGTGGCATCCGGTGGAAAGTGTTGACGACTCGGACAACCCGGAACTTGAGCTGAGCCGTGCATGCGACGGTTGGAGCCTCCAGTTCTGCAGAGATAAGGTCTACCACAAACTCGAAGAAGCGAAGTTCTTGCTGAGGACGCGTTGGGTTTGCTGCCAAAAGCCTGGCCGGCGACAGGCTTTATCACAATTGCTCCGGCAAGGAAGCACAAGCGAAAAAACTACTATGAAGTGCTTGGAGTCCCCTCTGTGGCCTCACAGCTTGAGATTAAGAAGGCCAGAACCCAAGTGTTTGTTTGCCCTGGTTTTCGCACCGGAGAAGAGGCAGTGCCACCTGGTCATTGCTGCTTCTGCGCCAAATATGAGCGCCGAAGTCGGCTTGGGTGACGAGTGAAGGCATACAGAGAGCGTGCTGCCGAATGGCACCCCGACAAGAAGTCTCATCTAGATGAGGCGGGATGTGGGTTTTCAACTGTTGCAATGTAGATGACTTTTGTCGATCATGCCCACAGGCTGCGAGAAAGAATGCCGAAGAAATGCCGCGTCCACAGTAGACAAAGACGTGGGGGCATCCGAGGATTATCGGCTGTCGTGCAGAAGGTGCCGTCACAAGACTCCTGTAGAAAGCAACTCTGCTTGTGATTTTGCAAGAGCTTCTCGAGGTTCAAGGTCATTTCAGAAGCCTACGAAGTGCTCACTGACCCCGTCAAGAAGGAGCTCTACGAGAAAGGCACCGTTGGTGTTGCTGGACGGTGTGAGCCCATGGATGACGAAACGAAGGCTACGACCTAGAAGGCATCAACGAACAGATCGAAATCAAGAAAAGGCAGCTGAGCTGAGCAGATCTTGCCATGATTCGCTGAGGGGTAGCATTGCGCCGTGAGTTGTTCATGAGGCGTACCAATGGTTGCTGTGGCGGCAGGCACCCGGGCACGTAAATCTGGTTCTGCGACACAGCGACCGCAATGTGGCCGTTGCGACTACTATCATGTGAAACTGCTCAAGCCGCCAGCCCAAAAGACTATCGCAAAGTATCAGGCCTGGCGGCTGCAGCTGAGGCTGCAGAAGGCCAGCACCGATGACAAGAAGTAGGGCAAGCATAAAAGTGTGGATTTCTAGGTGTTGACTCGGCATGTCTTCTCTCTGACTGTTGGCATATACGTGGCGACGTCCACTGCTGGTGCTCAATCCAATCACTCGATTTTTCCCTCTCCTCCTGCTGACATTGCACCGTGTCCTACTCGGAGCTACTCCTGTAGGACTGCCGGTGCCCCAGCCTTTACGAAAATGGCCAACAGAAGTATGTCTCCTCGTGCCAGATCGAGACGAAAGTCAACGCCTATCTCGAAACTACCAACCCTCAAACACCAAACCTAGCCTCTATGACTGAATGATGTCCCTGGTCCTCGTGGAAGTCAAATGCACACACCCCAAAAATTCAGTTCAATTTTGCATCTTCGACGAGGGGAGAAACACAAGCAGCAGTCGCAGTTCTGGTCGGCGTCTGGGTTTTCGTCGCAGCGGCAGCACTCACAGTTCTTCGCAGGTGCCTGTGCATCATGTGTGCACACATGCTGATGTCAGCTGATGTGGCGAACCATTCCAGAAGCGATGGGTGCTTTTCGCGGCATTTGTACAGCAAGGTCTGCCGCCCCGGGATGCCTAGCTAGCTACAGGGTTATTCAACAGCGCCAGAAGAGCAAGCGTTGGTGGCAGTGCATTAAGGCTGTCCGTAGTCTCTAGAAACCCGATTTCGTCGGAGCTGCCGAGAGCGAAGAAGAGCTGTCAAGGGTGTTCATTGTATTCAATCAGCGACCGCATGGTGCCAGTTGCATTATGTTGCGGCTTTGAGAACTGATGCCAGCTTACTGCAGCGTTGAGTGCTCACAGGTTTAGGTTGTAGGCAGTGCGAAGACACATCCGGCGACTTGCCTTGCAGGCGAGTTGAGCCCGTCTTTCACCATGACTTCGCACATGCTAGCTGATCTGCCTGAGGACCGGCGATGATCAAGATCTTCGGCGTGGGCCGCGGCAAGCGTGCGGAGGACTCGAGCTGTGGGTTTGGATACGTGCGTCCATTCTTCGGAAGACTCGAAAATGGGCCAGGAATCAAAGGATGATGATGCCGAGGCATCTCTGCAACGCATGCTCGGATCTCCTGGATGACGTTGGTCCAGCCTCACAGTGCGGCTAGGCGCCTGCTACGAAAAAGAAGCAACCGGGAGAAATTCGAATGCAGAAGGACAAAGCTGCCGTGCCTGACATTGATGCTCGTCAATTCTCTAAAGCAGCGGAGAGATGCATATCATGTCAACTCCCAGGAGCTGGACGAGATGGAGCTGCCACCGCAGTGCCACATTAAGTTTGGATCTCGGGATTCGAAAGAAGCCTTGGGCTGCTTGAGGGTTTATAGGTGGACTGAGCAAAGGCGACAAGTATTCAAACATGCAGTCATACCGTTATACCCATGAGCTCTCAAGTTCAATCGTAGTGCTCCACGCTAAGTTTTCCGGACAAGAACAACCTCATGCACTTCCAGATCCAGATCTCACCAGACGAGGGATTTTGGAAAGGCCGCACTCTTGCCTTGCCTGGCAGCCGCAAGCAGCAGGGCGTTTCGCAGCATTCACCGAAGCTCTCGTTGTCCAAAGCCTACGGAAGCCCAGCTGCGGGATTCGCGCGCCCTGTACTGGGGGCCTTCGGATCCTGGAGCACATGTGCAGGGGCGAGTTACACCTTCGTCTTCAATGTTGCACCGCTGTATCCGCATGAGGCCTGCTTGAAGCTTCAGCTCTGGCAGTTCCAAGCAAGTAGCCCGAGCATGGCCGCAGCAGGCTCCCAAAGTCAAGTGCCAAAGCCTTAGCAAGAAGTAGTCTGAGTAGTCCATCGCCTTGCCGATCTCCTCAAGGTGAAACAAAGATTTACCACCCCAACATCGACCTACAGGGCAACGCCACGAACTTAAGGTGATTTTTGGCGAACCTGTAGACGACGGGTGAATACGATGTGCTAAGGTTTGCTTGAATATCCTGCGGGAAGACTGGAAACCAGCCGCGGCCTTGTCATGCACGCAGAATGTCGCCCGGCAGTGTCCCTATGCAGACATCGGATTCGGGGTGCTCTCCCGAAGGAAAACCACTCGCACTGCCCAGATCGTTGGGGGGGGGGGGGCAAGTAATTAATTTAACAGCGAGTGCGAGAGCCGCCTCGGGAATCAAACTGCAGGCAGCCGCTTCCTTGTGAGTTCGTGAAGCCACCTCCCAAATCGTACAGAGAAGACAGGAGTGGGGGCCCCAAAAGCACATCAGCAACATTACGAGAGCCGGCCTTAAACCTCCTGGCGGGGCTGCGAGGCCCGAAAGGAGGTGAGAAGGGCTTGGGATGGTCCCATGAATGGCTCGGCGCCGATCAGCGGATTTTGTTGCTCTGCTCCGCACCCCTCCCCCCTTCCCATGCCCGGGTGGTGGGGGCTGTTGGGCAAGGTGGTGCAGGTTTAGGGTCTAGGGTCTGGAGTCCCGGTCTCAGAAACATAAGTTTCAGCCGAATGAGTAAAGAACTCAGTTGAAAGATCAGGCTTGAATTGGGATTGCAAGACTTGGGACTCAGGCAGAGCTGGTACAGCGTCAAACAGGGTACATTGCTTTACAGGGTTTAGTTTCAGGGTGAGGGCTTGGTTACGGTTACGCTGCACGGCGATGTTTCGGGCTTGGAGTGGGGGTTTCGGCTTTCGTGCGGAGTTTACATTCGGGTTTCATGCTTGATGGGCTTAGCTCAGGATTAGTTACTGGTTGGGTCATTACGGGTTTAGGGTTGCATGCCTAATCTAAGGTTCCGCGGTTTGAGTTAGGTTCCAGCGTTTACGGGGATATCGAAAATTAGGTTTAAAGGGTTGCCTTTGGGGTTCCAGGGTTCTGTTTTGGGGTTCGGGGTTCATGGCTTTCGGGGTTTAGGGGTTTGGTCTTTTTGAGGATTTTAGGGGGTTACAAAAAAACCGGGGCCGGGGGTGGGGCGGGGAGGGAGGGGATTGGTAGACCTGGAGAGATGAGAGTCGGGGATTTAGATGAGCTGCTCTGGCCGCCTTTTGGGGCCAAGCCGCGGATATCGGCTGCCACCTCATTCCATGGTTTTGGTGTTCTTTTGCTTGTCTCGCTCTGCCGACCAGGTGTTATCCATTTCATCCGTGGTATATGGGCTTCTGTGCGCTCACAGAGCGGTCGTGCAGCTCACCTGGTTCATTGTCCCACTTCCACGTGCCAGGTACCTGTTCTTGGAGCCCAACCCAGGGGATCCCTTGAACCATGAAGCAGCCGAGGCAACATGCTCAGTGCCAGAAGCTGTCAGACGAAGTGAATTCCGGTGTCTTTTTGCAGGTGTTGCGGAACAACAGAGGCGAGTTCGGTCGCATGGTGCAAAGGCCAGATGCGCAGTTGGCAAGTCGGGATGCGTCTGCTACCAGTAAGGCAGGGTAGATTTCCAGTAGCCTATCATACTTACTCTCTTAGGAAGTGCCTCGGATAACCGGGAATGCAGTGATCAGGTCGTTAAGGGGCGGTGCCGTCGCTGGTCATGCCTTCCCGAAGCCTCTTGGATGCACTGTTCTGCAACTTGCACAATTGTCTTGTCAGGAGTGATAAAGTCGCGCAGGGCATTTTCAGACTGCTGGCACTGTCGCATCCTCCTGTCAGCAAAGGCTGCTTTGACCAAGCGGTGCTTGTCGCATCTTTTCCCGTGGTCAGAGTTGGTGTGTCACCCTTAAAGGGTACTGGCAAAGGTGCCCCAGAAAGCAAGTTGTGCATCAATCGTCTAAATATGCTCCGATGATATTGAGACGCTGTGGACAATTGGGCTGAAAACCAGGCCCAAGGACAGCCTTGCCGTCCGTCAGTAAATTTGTGGAAGAACGCCAAAGTGTGCTTTTCAGCTGCAGCCTTTGCATTCTTTAGGCGCAAGTGGGGTGAGGAGGACATAGAAGTTTATGGCTAGTGGCAAAAAGGACAAAGAGCTTGGAGGTCTTGGTCTGGCTTGCTTCACAATTGGCTGCGGAAAAATCCCAATGCTCGGCTCGTTTCGGTTCCAGAGTCCTCTGTTCATGGCCTCTAGAAGTAGGCCACGTTCCTACAGCTGGGGGAGGGCGAGCAGCATGTTGAGGGAGGCCCGCCGATTACGGCAAAAAATGTCTGCCGTGCCGTCTGCTATCCGCTCGACACAGGGCTGCTAGAAGACCCTGCCACGCGCATGCGCCGGCCTTGGCTCATGAACTTGTGAGCCTTGTCGGTCCAATCAAGCATATGCTGCTGGCCAGCTTAGCCAACAGTGAGTTGCTTAAGGCGTGCACAGAAGCAGCGCCCCTTCCATCGCAGTTACAAAGCAGGCCAGCCGACCCGTTTTCGTTTCAGAGACTACCACTACCACTACCACTACCACTACCACTACCACTACCACTACCGCGAGCAGTGGCGTCCATGCAATCCATCAAGCACGTCGCAGACACTTTCGAACGTTCAAACTGTGACAGGCACTGAATGAGACTTGGACGAAGACTCAAACGACACCACGGCTCAAGCATGTGCAGAAATTACAATCGGTACAAACATGCTTTGAGCGGGCAAATCAAACATGCACGATCAGGCAAGTGAAGATGATTCGGCCGCCAACGGAGGGTCCAACCGGAAGCAGCAACCTAACCCGCAGGTGCTGTCGCGAACATCGCAAATGCTGCCTTTGCATGGTGGTGGCCCCAGTCTTTTGCGAGTATCCCATTCCTTTTCCGAGCGTGGAGCCTGCAGTCAAGCTCTCACTTGAGTACCAGCCAATGCGACTGTTGGCTCGGTGCGAGTCCAACGCTGCTACCAGACGAAATTCGACACAGTCAGGGCCTTCTAGTTCCTCAGGACCCGTACTCGAAAGGGCATACGACGCCGGAAAATGCCGGATTTGAGTGGAAATCTGAGGCAACTCTGAGGCATGCCGTGGCGAAAGCTATGAATAGACGGTCGCATGAACTGCCTATAGTTAGTCTCCGTCTGAGGTGCCAGAGCCTGCTCACGATCGCAGGACATGTTGCATGAATGCCATCAGTGATGTTAGTAGAACTGTGGTGCTCATTCTCGTAGTTATCATACATGTCATCACCGTTAGCATGACAGCATCAACAACATCGTCGTCAGCACCGTGTGGATAGGAGTACTAGCATTAGTGGGGTGGCGGTGATGATCGTGATTATTCTTGTTGCTTGTGTGAGATGTTATATACAAGCGGTTGAGTTAGATATGAGTTGTGATGTTTTTTGTTTCTACTATCTGGCCTTTGTTTATCGGTTGTCGCCATTATTGTTGGTGTGATAGGTGTTGCTGTTGAATGTTATTCTTGCTTATGTTGCCGTGAGCGTCGAAACTCGTTGTTTCCCTGTTGACGGCTCGTATCGAACTGTTAGTTCTAGTGTCATGATTGTCTCTATTGTTGGAAATGTCACTAGTACCGTCATCAGTTCAATAGCCGCGATTAGTTTTGCTACGACGGTGCGAAGAAAAGCTACACCTGCTGCTGCTGCTGCTGCTGCTGGTACTAGTACTCTACTACAACTACTACAGCTACCACAAGTACTACATTTATCATGAGCATTAGTACAGTACCATGTCTACTCCGTGACTTGGGCGTCGTGCCGCGGCGAGAGATGTGGCCCTGATGGGTTAGTTGCAGCTGGCTCTGACCACCCTATTCGCTGACCATCTTCTGAATTGAGGATTCTTCGTGATGGAACGTGGAAGATGACACTTTCCTTGGTGTAACAGCCGTCGCCAGGGGGGGTCATTAAGAGAATCGACCTGGTCCTGGCCATCATCCAAGGGTACAGTCCGATGAGCTTGGTGCTCTGGCTCGTGACTGGCATATACTCGCATCAGATGGTTGGGCAGCACTGTCAAGCAAACCAGTGAAAGCCCTGCCGTCTTGATCAACAACGCCCTTGTTCTGTGGCTCGCTTGTGGGGGAGGACGTCTGCTCTTGCGAAGCGAGAGCGAAGCTGAGCTGTTTCTTATGTGCACTCGGCTTTCACACATCGCTTGGCAAGAAAACCGCATAGAAGTATGATGACAAGAGAGTACATCCCTCGGTGAGTGTGCTCTGAAGAAACCGCAAGAGGGCCCGCAACTGCAGTGCCGTCATGGGCTTATGTTGTGACAACCAATCATTTCTCGACAACAGGCCGCACATTACGGAGGGTACGGGACGACTTGTAACAGCTGTCCGCCATGGGCGAGTGCGAGAAGGGCTTGTCTTGCAGACGACGGCCGCTTGTCGACAGCAGGCTGTGGATTGCATAGTAGCAGAAGTTGTTTGCAAAGAGCGGGTATATCGAGAACAGTCACATTTGCTTTAGTGTGTTAATCCGACTGATGCAACGGCAGGTGCACAAACTTCGCGCCGTACATCGAAACGGGTTTTGTTCGATGTGTGCAAAATATCCGCAGAAACACCGCGGCTAGGGAAATATGTTTTGGCTGTGTGGATCTTGGTGTTGCAGCCTGTGGTCTGGAGTCCTGAGATGTCTTGAGTGTCTGAAGCTTGGGCCTTGCAGACCAGCGTTGATGGGTTCATTTTGAAGGAGGCTCTCTGCGAATGTTTTTGTCGAACCCTCCTGCAGCATGCACATCAAGGGTGGGGAACCTGCACTTCCCATCTTCGTCATTTGATTCTCACGAGGTATCGCAAAAACCATCACCCAAATCGCGGATGTTGATTTCTGGCTTGGATAGGTTTCTTTTTGCAGGTGTTGCTGCCTGCCCTGGTGATGACGCTCTGAATCGTCGACATCCGCAACGTGTCAGGTTTCCTCTAAACTTAAACACGACGACAAGCTTCCGAACCCAAACTGAACGTGCAGACAGAATACTGCTACTCCGTGCTTCAACCTGGTAAAAGACTGCGTGTCGTCGTGTAGTCGCGACATGCGCTAAGCACGTAGTCTTGCAGAAGATGTCACTGAATACGGTCGTGGACAGGGTGTATTCCTACTTTTGCTGTATGTCTTGCGACATCATTGCGAACGACCACGCGCATGCTGTTCCAAGCAGAATATGCTGCTTGGCTGGTAGCTGGGTGTTTTGGAAATTGCGGGTCAGGATCCATAGGGTGTAGATTAGTGTCCACTGTTTTCTCTCATCCTTGCGCTTCCTTGTATGTGGAGGACTGGCACACCTTTTGTGCGTGACATGCTTCGTTGTTCGGCACTAAGAGGCTCCTTTGGAACTCCTCGACACTGGCAGCTTCAAACGAAGCTCCTGGATCTTGCACCAAGGTACAGGTCATCCTCATAGACTATTTTCTTGTGCAGTACCTGAGCTGGAAGCTCTGGGGTGCCAACGTGGTACTACTTTCCACAGATGCAATTGGGTAAGGTGCCACCGTCCTCCTCACGCTGATTGTGGACGTGCCAGTGCTCGCATCTTAGAGTGCCGTCCGACACTTGCAGCAGGAGAGACATTTCAGCTGCTTTCAGCTTGCAGGCTTCTCCACCTTGCTTGGTTCTGGAGAGTGGAAGTCGCTCACCGGGCAGCTCCAACTCAGCGGGAAGACTCAGTTCGAGCCACTCCGATGCCTACAGCACCTTTGTCTTTAGAGTCTATTCCTTTTTCAGGTGGTTCTGCTACTGCTGGGTGCACGCTGCCAAGGCCGGCTAGTCTTGCAGTCTGAGTCGTCGCCTGGGCTGGAAATGTGCCCGTGCACAAAGGTGGTTGTCCTTTTTTGCCGTGTTATGCCACGCTTAACCAGCGCGACTCCAACAAAGGCTCGTTGCTCGTCTAAGCGGCACCAGACATTCTGCTCTGCCCTGCGCAGGACGGGCTTCACGGCAGCGATTTCAGCATCAACAGCGCCTATTTCGAAGATTTGTACAGTCCGGTACTTCGTCGGGGAGACACGACTCCTAGTTCTGTAGAGAGCAATCGGCACCGCATCAGGTCCCACAATGCTTGCGAATCTCCTCTTGATTACGCCTGTGTTCTACAGTCTGTTGATGTTCCGCACCAGCAAGGCAGACATCTCCTTCTTTTCGTATGTTGATGAGCTTGAATCTGACTTCAACCTCCAAGTAAAGAGCTGTGGCAAAGCCCAAGACTCGTGGCGAGAGCTTGGCGCAGGCTATTTTCGGTTCCTTGTCCAAGCGGGTCACGGTTGACCTCATAATGCACTACGCTGCTGGTCGCAAACAGTTGGCATGCAGAGCCAGTTTGTTTCTTTCGGTCTTGCAATTCAGCTGCCGGCAGTTTTGCACTCGTGACGCACGAATTAAATCACGGGGATGATCTGGAATTGGCGGACCGCGGCTGTGGTCCGCTTTAGCCTAGGGCTTTGCACATCATATCTCCGAGAGGACCAGCATACTGAAAGATTGCACGTCTTTTTCAATCTGCATTTTTACTAAGGACATGTTGTGGCGAGTGGTCATCGACATGGTTGATCAGGTGGAGGGTCGGGATACCAGCTGTTGTGTTGCATACGTGGTCGTTGTTATGGTTTGTCTTGCGGTTACAGTGCATTGGTGATGTTGGTGACCGCTATAGTCATTATAGTCATTTCGACGAGTGTCACTAGTACTGCTCCTCCAGCTCCTCCTCCCGTAATCGTCTAATTCTCGTCCTTCTCCTCCTCCTCCAGCACCTCCTCCTCCTCCCCTCCTGCTGCTACTGCTACTGCTGCTCCTACTGCTACTGCTGCTGCTGCTGCTGCTGCTGCTACTACTGCCACTGCTGCTGGCATCGCTACTGCCACTGCCACTTCTACTGCCACTGCTACTTCACTGCTGCTTCAACAACAACAACAACGACGACGACTACTACTACTACTACTACTCCCGCTGCTGCTGCTGCTGCTGCTGCTGCTGCTACTACTAGTACTACTACTACTACCACCACTACTACCACTAGCACCGTTTCTACGCCAGTCCTGCTACAGCTACTGCTACTGGTTCTACCATCTTGAGTTTCGCGAGTGCTACTCCTGCTATCAGTACTACTTCTGCCACTCGGCTGACCACTACCGCCACTACCACCACTACCACAAATACCGACAACGCCAACATTACCACCGCTACCACTACCACTACTGCCGCCACTGCTATGCCGCCACCGCCACCGCCGCCACCACCACCACCACCACCAACATCCACAGCATCATCAACAACAACAGCAACAGCACCACATCAATAACAAGCATCGCTACCACGGCCACTAAAGCTCCCACTACCACTACCAACATCACTCCCGCTCCCACTGCCACGACAACTACCGGTACGACTACTCCTCCTACAACAATGACAACAACAACTACTTCTGCTTCTGCTGCTGCTGCTACTACCACTACTACTACTAGTACTTCTACTACTTCTACTACTTCTACTGCTTCTACTACTTCTACTACTTCTTCTACTACGACGACGACTACTACTACTACTACTTCTACTACTACTGCTGCTGCTAGTACTCTTCGACTACTGCTGCTGCTGCTGCTGCTACTACTACTACTACTACTACTACTACTAATTACTGCTGCTGCTGCTGCTGCTGCTGCTGCTAGTACTCTTCGACTGCGGCTGCTGCTACTACTACTACTACTACTACTGCTACCACTGCCACTGCTACTGCTACTGCTACTGCTACTGCTACTGCTAGTGCTACTGCTACTGCTCTACTACTACTACTACTACTACTACTACTATCTCTGCTACTGCTACTGCTACTGCTGCTGCTACTACTACTACTACTACTACTACGACGACGACTGCGACCAGACGCCGACGTCCATAGTAGTACGACGAGTGCTACGACAACTGCTACGAGTACTACTGTTACGACGACGACGACGAGACTACCAGCACGGCGACTAGGGACTGCTACGACTTTACTACGGGAGCAACATGTGCTGCCACTTACGCTTGCTGCTGTCATTGTCTTCATGGGAAGAGCGCGTTGATGTGCAAGGTGAAGTCAGGTTCGCGGTAGCACGGTGCTTCACCGCTGGCTCCCACCGCTCAGGTTGACATGTTCTACTATGCACGCTTAGCTGAATGGGCGGATGTCTCAGACTGATTCAGCAGCTCGGTTAGTGTGTGGCCTGACTTTGGAAATGCGCAAATCTGGAGGTGGGGAAGGAGGCGCTGGAGAAGCATCGACCGTCACTGGTTCTTATCCAAACAGCGATTTGGTTGCAAGCTGACCGCTTATTGTTGTGATGGTGCTGACAAGAGTACCTAGTGCTGGACAGCTGCAGGTGGTGCCATTCCTCCTGTTTTTCTCCATGGTCCTACAGGCCACGGCAACACGAGACGCATGCTGTCGTGTCATACCTGCAGAATCCCGCAGCTAACCACGCCTCCGTGTCCTTTGATGTCATTCGGCCTGGTCTTGCGCGCATCGTGCTGTCGAGGCGCAGGCATTTCCTGGTGTTTGGCTCTAAGCTCCAAGCTCTCTTTTGCTTGAGATTCGAGCTCTTTTTGCGGGATCTATGGCTCGTTCAGCAACTGAGGTAGTAACAGACAAGTGGCCGATCCCGGCTGTGTCCTAAGCTCGCGATCGATCACGAGAGGAGGATTAAGCTTGACGCATCTAGGTAGGAAAGCGCTCGAAACTGCCCGTCCAGAATGAGAGCAATCCTGACCTCTAAGACTCTAAGGTTGAAGCCTCCGCCCTGTGCTCAAAATTGTTGCTTCTTCGGGAACTGGTTTGAGGATCCTTGTGCTCAGGCCACATTGCCCCAGGCATGCTCAGAGCCACGCGAGGAGCCCTCCAGGACCGAGCTACTTAGTGGACATGGCTTACGTTCGGATTGCACTTCTTTGCTTTCTCAGGAGTGACGCTCAGATGCAGGCCGTTTCCAATGCACAAAGGCTTCTTGGCTTGGCTTGGGGTCCCCAGCTCACCAAGGCTGCCGGGTTTGAATGAGAGCGGCCAGCAGGTATGCACTGCAGCCACAAGCTCCGTTGCCTTCTCCTTGGTTTCTTGCATCGGTCTGGAAGTCAAAGAACGGCGAAAGCCAGCGAGATGTCGCTGAGGTCTCAGTTGCAAGCTGCGGCCTTGTGCTTACATGCTGGAGTTCTTGCGGAGAAAGTTCTCGCGAGTGAACTGGCAGGCAGCTTCCTCGGCGCCTTCTTCGGTGCCGCCACGGCGCGCAGAGGTCGGCAGGATGTTAGGATCTTGGAGCTGCCAGTTTCCATCCCTGTCGACGCGACAGGATTGGCAATCAGAGACCTCTGGTGCAAGACAGGTGCTATTTCGAGGACGTAGCGGTCTTGCGATGCACACTACTTCGGCTTGGGCTGCAGGCGGTCACCTTTGCCGCAGACCTCCGCGGTGGAATGCCGAGCTCGGGCGACACCTTCAGCGACAGGCAGCGGCTGGCAGCCTTCAGAGAAACAAAGCTTTGGGTTCCTGCGAGCTTCAGGCAAAGCTCGGGCTCGGGAATCATGCTTCGAAAGAGCACGGGGTTTGGTGCTCCGCTCAGCTGCTCTAAGCGCCCAGGGGCGCCCGTGGCATTTCGCTTTTCCGAGGACCCGGACGGGAGCGAGCCTGGCTGGAGCGACATGAGAGGCGAACGTGGGACTCAGACTTGAGCTACTTGAGGTGTGGTAGAATGCGGTTTGGTCAGAACTACAGAGCCTCACCAAGTGGCAGGGCCCGCAGGCGGCGATTGCAGGCAGCAGCCCCATGGACCCAGACTGTCGTAGATTCTCAGCACTGAACAAGCAGGCGAAGGAGCGGAGGGATGTGGAGGGCAGGCTGGCTTGCTAAGGCCATTATAAATCTCATCCAGCGCCAGAATGTCATCATCGCTCGAAAGCGGTCGGGTGCCCGAGTGGTCATCGTGCTTCCACCAAACAGCTTTATCCTAAGCTGTGAAGGTCGGCCATTGCGTCGATCTTCCTGATCGACATCCCATTTCTAACTATACGAGTTCAGTGCTCAGCATTTAAGACGTCTTTCGAAGAAGGCAGATGCCTGGAGTCCTGCTGTAGCAACACCAGCACTCAGAAAGGTCAAATTTAAAAGCTCCCGGAAGAGCCTTGAATCGAGGTTTGGCTGTGGGCATTGTCGCGCGCTCAGATGCTGGCATGAAGCTCTTGGCTGATCTTCAAAGACTCTCGGCAAATGTTGCATTTCGTGCCAGTCCGTCGGTGCCGCATGTGAGGCTGCAGCATACCTACTTCCCCGGCTTGGGAGTGAAGAATGGGCTCTGCATTGCACCCTGGCATCATTGGCCCGAACCACGGATGTGCTTGGTGTTGCTGACGCTTTCAGCCAGGTGCTCAACGTCATGCAGTACACACTGGTCGCCCTGGCAAGTGGGTCGCTGAGATCCATCCTCCCACTACTGCTCGACGGTTCTGCACAGCTGCATCGGATGGCTTCCCGGAAGGTAAAGAATCCTTCAAGAGGATCAAGCGGGAGCTAGCAGAGTACCTCTGCAGGCGCGACAGCTCAACAATATCTGGTGTCCGGTCCTGTCCCAGTCGTCCCCATTTCTCGAACGAGCCACCAGACAAGCCGGGATGGTCAATTTGTTCTGGATGGCCAGTTGGCAGCCGATAACTCTTTGCTTGCTGTCCGAAGCTGAAGGCTCTCAACTGCCTTTGGAGCTTACAGTCTTTAAGGTGATGCCACTTCATAGATTCCTATGTCTCTGAACGTACATCGCCACGGTGCTTGAACTACTCGCTCCTCGCACCTTTTCGTGTTGTCTTTTTCAGGTTTCAAGGGTCTGCTTTGAAGGAAGAGGAAGAGGAGGAGGAGGCCCGTACTGTTTTCTGAAGCGTGCCAGTGTTTTGCTGCTCCGTTGAACATTCGGCATCAGGAGATCGGGCATGACTCGCCGGATCACAATGCTCTTGACGAAGGCCGGCGGCAACCTTGCATAATTCAGCATTGCCCAGCCTTCCCAGCCCGTGTCTGCACGAATCTGACAGGTGAGGTCATGTCGCCACAGGCATCGGTGTGAAGCCTTCAGACGACAGGTTCCTAGGTTCCCTCTAATCCCAACTTCTGAAGGAGCCTGGCACGCCCGACAAGCAGGCTGCGAAGGACAGCTTTGCAGACCATCCCAGCATCAACAACCAAGCCTTTTGCAGAGGACTTGCCGGAAGTCCTGCAGACTTCCACATCTCAGGCTGCTGAACTCTTCTGGAAGAAAGTTGCAGAGAGGAAGACTACTAAGGCTGAGATGAAGCGAGCACTCCGGCGTGTGGGCACGGGCCTTGCGGTGCACCTGACAGGCATGCGGAAAAGAAAGTTCTGTCACCAGGTCGGGAGAGCACGCGCAGTGTCGGCGCATGCCGCGGCTGAGATTTGTGAGTGTTTACCGGCGCAAGGCCGTCGGAGCTGCAGCCCCGCTGTTTCCGAGGTGTCTACATCTGTGCCCTCACAATGGCACTCGTTCTGGGCTTCGTCATCGCGCAAGGCAGTCGAAGTTGCTCGCCGACAGTGGCGGGTGAACAGCTGGCCTGTCTGAGGCGAGACTGTTATCGAGACGTTCGTGGCGTGGGCGAAGGAGCCTCTTTGCATTTAGTTCCAAACTTGAACAGTTGATAGGCTGAATACGCTCGTGCACGAGTCCTGCAAATTGCACACGTGAGTCCAATTAATGATTGCAAATGCTTTCGCATCGTTCGCCTCGGCTCGGTCGGGCACACCCGCAGACGCAGGCAGGCGGGGAAGGGCGGGGTGGCACATTAAGGAACATTTGTGTTCACAAGCAGCATGACGGGGGATGCCCCTACAAGGGGTGGGGGATCAATGCAGAGGCGATTAAGACGGGGGGAAACAAGGTTCCACGGAAACCTCTGACCGCTTCGGCCGGGGTGGGCTATATTTTTTGCATATTTTTTTTGAGTTTTTTTGTATTTTTTTCCGGCCGAGCTTCTTCCAAGCAAGCAAGCAGGCAGGCAGGCAGGCAGGCAGGCAGGCAGGCAGGGCTAGCAAGCAAGCGAGCAAGCAAGCAAGCAAGCACGCAAGCATGCACGCACGCACGCACGTACGCAAGCAAGCAAGTCGCCAAATGAGGGGGCGTGTTTAAGATATAGGATGAATCTGAATCGGGAAATCAGGGGGCATGTTTAAGAAAAATGATGAACCGGAATCTCCAAATCAGGGGGCGTGTGTGAGATATATGATGAATCCGAATTGCCAAATGAGGGGGTTTGTTTTAAATATATGGTGAATCCGATATGATGAACCGGAACCGCCAAATGAGGGGGCATGTTTAAGAGATGAATCCGAGTCACCAACTGAGGGGGGTGTTCAAGATATGATGAACCCGAATCGCGAAATGGCGGGTGGGGGGGGGGTGTGTAAGGCATATGATGAACCGGAATCGCCAAATGACGGGACGTGTTAAAGATTTATGGTGAATCCGGTATGATGAACCGGAGTCGCCAAGTGAGTGAATCCGGTATGATGAACCGGAATCGTCAAATGAGGTTGAGGGGGCGTGTTTGAGATCTATGTTGAACTCGAATCGCTAAATGATGGGGCGTGCTTAAGATACATGATGAACCCGAACCGCCAAATGAGGGGGCGTGTTTACGATATGAGATATATGATGAATCCGAATCGCTCAACGAGGGGGCGTGTTCAAGATATATGATGAACCGAGATCGCCAAATGAGGGCGGGTGTTCAAGATGTAACATGAACCGGACTTGCCAAATGAGGGGGCGTGTTGACGGCAAAGGCGAAAACATGTTTAATATATAATATTTATATCTATATTTATACTTGTATTTATATTTATATTTATATTTATACTTGTATTTATATTTATGTTTATATTTATATATATGATGAAACCCCGAAAGAAATTTTGCTCAGTGACCCAAAATGGTGCGGACTTGAGTTTGCTAAGTGACCCCGAAAAAAGTTGGCTAAGTGAACCCTGGTCCCTCTGCTGTGGAGGAGAGCTTCGTGTTTTTCCCTCTCGACGACGGGGACCCACCTTGCCGCCGTGGGAGGGCTCAGTACCCCCTCCACAGAGCGGGGAAGCCAGGAGATCCCCAGACACGAAACGGAAAAAAAAGTACAAAAACACAAACGGAAACAATAAGGAAAACACCCAAGCCTTCGGCCGGCGGAGGCCGAGGCGAATTTAATATTTCCGATGCATCAGGAAGCGACAGCTGTCGAGTAGAAGGCACGAGTGTTGCCTGCGCAACCTTTGCCATCACATCTGCTCCTGCTCAGGGTGTGAGTAGATGCTCAGTTTGCATCCAGAGTCAGGGCCATCAGCCAGGCCACCAAAAGTTTCCAAAAGCAAGCGTATGCATGCACATCATGAGAGAAGCTCCTGGCGGCTCTGGCCATGAGCTGGATGAACGATGCATTCGTTTATGTCTGCTAGTGACCACAAGTGCTGCCGAAGGCAGCGCTGGGGATCTCAATGTTTCTCAGGAATCGAAAATGCAGAGTGGAAGCGAAGCTGACATCATGATGAGCGCAACCTAGACACCCCGCATCAGCAAGTCACCCTGGATGCCGTACACCTGACCACTTTGCATGTCACAGCACATGCATTCCTCGAATTGAGATTGATGGAATGCAAAAGGCATTCTATCTGTTTGTTCCATGACCAAGTGTTATCTTCTTTTGCAACACCTGTGCTTCGGTTCTGGAACTTATATCATTGACAAGCTGGGAAGTCCATCTCACCAGCACAGAAGGTGCTGTGAAAGCGGCATCCAGACACAGCATGCGCATGCTGGCAACCGATCGAAAGAGCGGCATCCAAGCAGAGTGCCTGATTCGTCGACTTGTAGAGCCCAGTCGCGTGTGCACACGTGCGACGATGCCAACGCATGCCGCCAGCAGCCCGTGATGTCGATTTGAACGAAGCAGTGGGACATGAAGGATAGGGTCCCATGAGACTCCAGCTGCTCAGTTGACGCAGCCTTGACCCTCAAGCACGGCAGAATTTTACCCACGCTGTTGTTTTGACGTTGGCTAGTAGCAATAGCATGCAAGCCACCCGCATGGGTTGCCAATGCCATGATGGCGGTGCAGCACCATGCAGGCATGCAGGTCGGATGCTGGATGTGCTGGACGTGGAGGCAGAAGCGTGCAAGTACCAGTCAGTGAATCATCCTGGCCCAGGCAAGCTTACATGCAGAGGTGGCTGCTGCAGCCGAAAAGACAGGCGTGATCTTCGCCGGCCGCTAATGCCAGTGGCTTCTGCGAAGCTTTGCAACTGTTGTAACCTTGGGCACAGCAAGGGCGAGTGAGTGAGCATCACATGTCTGGCTGGCCAAACCTACCATACAGAGCAGAGGGGGAAATGATGCTAGGTGGAAACAATGTCGACAAATTGCAGGCACAACACACAACAACGCAAAGAAGAAGGTCGTGAAATACAGCCGCAAGTCACGACTGCCACTCTCATAGACTATTTTGGCTAGCCTGTTTACATTGAAAGCGACTGGGACTTCTGCTGTGCAATTGGTGCATGCTGTGGAGGCATCGCCAAGAGTCTCAAGTCAGAGATGCGTTTTCGTTTAATTCAGCCGGCTGCTAAGCTTGCATCTCACTGATAGGAGCCCTTCGGTGAATGTATCATGATATTTGAGGTCGCTCCATAAGGCGTCTCACTTGCAGGCTCGGGGGAGCTGTCGCCAGAAGCTGCGTGAAGCGTGGCAATGAGTTGCAGGCTTTTGACCCGGATGACAGAGTACCGTTGGCCGAAAGGGCACTCTACAGTCGTCGCCCAAGAAGGCACGGCGGCAGGACCGAATCAGGCCCTGAACCCGAAAATGCCCGAAGCGAAATCTATAGCCAAAGAGTGATTTGAAATTGGATGTTGCAGCCGAGGCTTGGTGTTGGAGCGGAGCTTGCCTGCCTTTTCAATTTCTGCCCGAAGAGTAGCATTCGAGAGCAGAGAGTAACTAAGACTATAATTATAACTGGTCGTGGTGGTAGTGGCAGCGCATCGTCTTGGTCGTTGTACAACGTGTGATGTACTGTGTCGTCGCGGGAATCGGCGCAGGCGCACGTGCCATCACCGTTACCGTCGTCGGTTGTCGTTTTAGTGGTGGTGCCATGGTCAGGGACCCCAAACGTAGCTCCGCTTCCTCCCATTCGGGAATCAAACAAGGCATGTGCATACATATTATCTATATACATATATATATATGTATCTAAATACAATATGTGTATTGTATGTATGTGTGTATAATTGTATATATATATACATATATACATATATATATACACATATATATATATGCATATATATATAATATATAATATATATATACATATATATATATCTATTATCAAGGGTATCTATGGTATCTATATATATATGTTACATATATACATACACATTATATGAATATACAATAATACTATGTCATGTTATACTGCGTTATATTATATTTTGTTACTATTTGTTACATTTGTTTTATTACATTTTGCTATATCACATGATATTATATTGCAGTCTCTTCTCTTCTTTTCTATTCTCTTGTAATCTCTTCCATTCTATTCTATTCCATTCTATTCTGTTTTATTCCTACTCTATTCTAACCTAGTCTATGCTATTCTGTTCTATTACATATGTAAATGTCTGTATGTAGATCGTGCATTTGGGCACACTCCGCAGCCTCACAGCGTGCCAGGTTTCTCCGCCATCGTCAAAAAGACTACAGCTTGTCCGTCCTGTTGCCGGAGTTAGCCGCCCGGTAGCCAGGGTTGCTTTTCGAGATCGTGCCCCAACAGCAAGTTATGAAGACAATCAGGTGTGGCATGACTTCCTCAGACGTCTTGGCGGCCGACGAGGTGTGCTGACTGCATGGGCGGCAGTGAGACACGCTTGCCCCAAACGCAGCCTGAGTCAATGAGGTCGGGCAGGCCCTCTCCTTGCAGAAATCGCCAGACCAGCTCCGAGCTTCCGAGCATTGGTGGAGCCACGAGCTGCGGTTACGAGTGGTATGGTAGATTTCGACGAGGCCTACCGCTTGGCATCCAAAATGGGTGACGAACCACTTCTCGCCCAACCCTCAGATGTCTCGCAGCGACGGCAGGCTCGAAGGGCGAAGAAGGAAGCTGTCGCGAATAGGGAACATAGTCATTGCAAGACGGTGAAGAGGCCGCAAAGGAACTCGGGGATCGTGCTATGCCGCTGTGCTGCAGATTTCGCAAGGACCGTTTGCTCAGAGTCGTGGCCGCTTCGGAAGAGTTGGCAGCTTAGCCGTAGCCCCCCGTGCACTCATGTGCCCAAACCCGTGACAGCCTGCATGGGAAGATCAGGCCTATGCGCAATGCAACAGGAGTCCAGACAGACCCGCAAGGCCTTGGACACGTGCCGCGCCGCGAATGCATTCTTGGACACGTGGTGCCTATGATCGGTCATGTTTTTGCGAAGTTTGCGAGCAGGAATCGGCGAAACTATAGACGAGAAGCTCCGCGCATGTGCTGTGTCGGCCACGCAGCGATGCAAACGTTCGCCATGTAACTGGTATGATGGTCTCGAAGACATTTCACCCAGAAGCGGGTGCAAGGTCAGGCGAGCACAAGGACAGGCGAACGATGGAAGAACGCATGCTCCAGCACGGACCTGAGTCGTTCCTTGGATGTCTTGCCGGCGGCATTCTCAGCCTGTGAGGTTTCGAGCACGCTGCGAAGCCATGGTGCGGAAAGAATCTGAGGCTCACGATCTGTACTTCGTCTTGTTGCCATCTAGTGTGATGTAATGTGATGCCATATCATGTGATGTGTTGCAATGTGATGTTTCATGTACCGTATCGTAAGGGAAGGTCGTACTACAAGGTGAGGTAATGTAATGTAATATAGAGAGTTACTGCAATGCCATGTAATGCAAGGTCGTGTGATTTCATGTCGTGTGATATAGCGCGACGTATGCAACGTAACGTAGTTGAGGCGGTGTACTGAAAGTAATGCAGTGTATAGCCAAAAAGCGCGTCGACCAGGCAAGCAGGGCATTAGCAAACTGCGACGTCCATGACGTAATGTACTCGAACGTATGCATGCGTGGATGTGCGCACATATGTAGCCTGTTCATGTCTAAGCATGTGCTTGCGCATGTGCATGTGGGTATGTGCGTGTATGTATGTATGTATGTATGTATGTATGTATGGTTGGATG